AGATGGTAACAATGACCTCACATCCTTCAATGCTGTATATTTGTAGGAGTAGGTCCTGATGGTCTGCCTTGTCTAGTAGATGGTAACAATGACCTCACATCCTTCTATACTGTATATTTGTAGGAGTAGGTCCTGATGGTCTGCCTTGTCTAGCAGATGGTAACAATGACCTCACATCCTTCTATAGTACGACCGGTAATGATTTTATTTTCTCATCAGAAAGCGTAGAATATATATTTAATGTATATTTAAATATCTACGATAGTCATCCTATTTAGGGTTGGGACGTAGAAATACATATTTTTATCGCTTTTTTTTTTAGTAATGCTGAGATGGAATTTAAAGAATTTGAGCCGCGGTTTAAATCTGCCAAAACCCGGTTTAAATTAAGCGCCGGCTTAAATCTTGAAACATTTGATACAATTTTCAGTGATACCAACCATATTTAAGCCGCGGCTTTTTAAACCGCCACTCAAATTCTTTAAATTCGGCCACCGGTGTTTTTAATGAACTGGGAAGTATTCCAATGCCAATTTTTTAAGGAACTGGGAAGTATGTTTTAATACCTGTAATTTTAAGGAACTGGGAATTATGTTCCAATACCTGTAATTTTAAGGAACTGGGAATTATGTTACAATACCTGTAATTTTAAAGGGACTGTAAAGGAAAAATGAAATGGGGTATTTCATACAAAATCTTAATATATAATTTTTTGCATAATTTTGACACAATTTGATATCAATTTCTCGAGACAGGAACTGGGAATTATGTTCCAATACCAGTTTTTTAGGGAACTGGGAAGTATGTTCAAAAATCTGTTTTTTAAAGAACTGGGAAGTATGTTCCATTACCTGTATTTTTAAGAAACAGGGAATTATGTTCCAATACCAGTTTTTAGGGAACTGGGAAGTATGTTCCAAAACCTGTTTTTTAAGGAACTGGGATGTATGTTCCATTACCTGTTTATAAGGAACTGAGATTAATGTTCCAATAACAGTATTTTTAAGGAACTGGTAGTTATGTACAAAATCTGTGTTTTAAGGAACTGTAAAGTATGTTCCATTACCTGTTTTTTTAAGAAACTGGGAAGTATGTTCTAACACCTGTTTTTAAGAAAATGAGAAGATTGTTCCAATACCAGTTTTTAAGGAACTTGGAAGTATGTTTCAAACTCTATTTTTAAAGGAACTGGTTAGTATGTTCCAATATCCGTATTTAAAGGAACTGGTTAGTATGTTCCAATATCCGTATTTAAAGGAACTGGTTAGTATGTTCCAATATCTGTATTTAAAGGAACTGGTTAGTATGTTCCAATATCTGTATTTAAAGGAACTGGTTAGTATGTTCCAATATCTGTATTTAAAGGAATTGGTTAGTATGTTCCAATATCTGTATTTAAAGGAACTGGTTAGTATGTTCCAATATCTGTATTTAAAGGAACTGGTTAGTATGTTCCAATATCTGTATTTAAAGGAACTGGTTAGTATGTTCCAATATCTGTATTTAAAGGAAC